AAGAAACTAAACTGGAGCGTGGTCTGACAGTAAAGATTGCTGGTATGCACTTAGGTGCTGGTTATGCAGGAGCTTCGTTATCGATTACTAGACGACACATGCTTAAACCCCACCTGGCCCAGTAGTAGTAGGTCCTGAAACTAGGCAAGGTTGAGTGTGATGCCAGCCACCTGAACCCGTAGGAACAACAACAGCAACAACAAAATCACAGCTACTGAAATGACAAAGCAATGAAACCCCATATTTCGTCATCACTCAAAATGCAAGGAAAGAAAACACACAATACTGTGATTCAAAAGGTAGACAATAAATTAAGCCTAAATTTCAATTTTAAGGAAAACGAGAGTGAGTCTGTAATGCGAAAAAAATCCCAATTAACTACCGTAATATAATCAAGTGTTGGTTTGTGTGAATTTCATCGGTTACAGGCTCTCATCATGAGCTTACATCGGTTAGTGAGAATCATTGGAAAGCCAGCACTGGGTTCTAGACAGCTGTTTCGTCATCCCTAGTTTGGGACTCTTCTTCAGTGCGCACCTACTGGGGTTCGAGCCCAGGACCTTCAGGTTACAAGCCGAGCTTTGAAACCATTCAGTCGCTGGGACCGAATCCAGTGGCCAGTTCACGAACTCCAACTTCTACTAATTTAAGACACAGCGAGACTACTAACCAATGTCATCGGAAGTGGGGATTTATCCAGAACTGGGTTTTTAATGATTCTGTAACCGATATCACTTCATGATGAGATCCTGTACCGTAATACAAATTGAAGAATGCTAGCAACTGAACAATAATATGGAGTAATTTCGATCTTCCCGATCAAAAATAGATCGTCAGAAGTAAAATGTGATCCACAATAATTTGATTAATGCAGAAGCATATATATATATATATAGGTATAAAACCTGCTTGAGTTACACAGGTTTGTTACAATCAATAATAAGCTTCAATTATTATCAGTTTTGTATTTCCCAATTAATGAAAAGCAAAGTGGTACTTCTTTAACTGACATTTCCCTATTTAATGCTGCTAATAGCTTTATCGAAGTGTTATTATTATTATTAATGAAAACAAGATTCATTGATAAAAATATGAAACCAAGAATTTGGAGAAATGAAACTTCACTTGCACCGAAAAAGAAACTCTACATGAACTTGGATTTCAAGTGATATTTTCTCAAGAGAAGAACATTCTTTGCAGCAACGCTAAGATTAGTGTTCTTCAGTAGCCCACTGATCTGCAGAAGCCTTAAGGACAAGATCTCACATCTGACCACTAGTATGTGTATGTTTCAGTTCACCTATTGCTGTGGAGCCAAGGACATCGATCGTTCAACGCGCATTCTCTCCAAGAGGATTCAAGAACATTATCCAATATGGTTGGGAAAAACGAAATAGTAGTGCTATAAGGAGTGCAATAATCGAACACCTTGTCAACACTAATCATATAATCTTAGCAAACGCCTCCGTCAAAGTAATCTACAGAGTCAAGAATAACCTACCAAAGGCAATACGGTCTCGTCTTCTTTGTATTGCTGAAGCTGTGGCTAGTCACATAGAAAAACCTAAGTTGTGTATACAAAAGAGAATCATTCAACCACTACTACTACCATGGTAACAATTTTATTGACTTTTGATGACTTAACTTTGTTTGTTTGTCTGTTTCTTTAATTGCTTATAATTCTTGTAGTCATTTAGAACTCTTACGTAATTTCATATTCGCTACTTTGTTCCCATGTGTATCCCTGAATACAACTCTATCATCAAACTATTCATCTTATTACATAACTCACCCTTGTTACTAACCTAATTTCAGTAACACCCAATTTTCTTGACCGTTTTTGTATTACCTAACTCCACCCAAAACTTGGGAATCCTCACCGCCACCCTCTTTGGTTAAAATAACCATAACCAATTATATATTTATTAATTATTTAAAATAATCCCAGCGTGTTTAAGAAAAAAAATCAAAATAAGAGTTTCTTCTTAACGTTTCGCTGTGTAAGTCACAGCTTCTTCAGCAGAATTGTATTTTTGTTTGACAGATTCAATGTAACACACACATACAAAACAACCTATACATATTTCCGATTGTACAGCTAAGAAAATGAATTCGCGAAAAAACTTTCACTGAACTACGTGTTTTGTTTTATTATTATGAAAACAGAATTTACAAAATCTCAGTGTATATACGGCAACCTAACCATCGTTCTTCAGTATGAGGTAGATTTTATGTTGTTGACGAGTGTAGATTGTTGAATTTGATAAGAACAGCCTTCGCTAGCTGCATAGTGAAGATCAAATGGCCGGCCAGAGAGGAGGATTAATGACAAGAAACTATGGAAGCAAACTAACCAAGAACACATTGCTCAAGAAATATGTAGAAGAAAATGGAGATGGATGGATCGGGTATAGGTTGAAGAGACTATCGAATGACATCGCGAGCCAGGTCGTAGCTCGAATGGAATCCAAATGGGAGGCGACGAGTGGGTTATCGGTGAGAGGGTGACATAGAAGAAGATCGTGCGAGGAGGAGATGAGACATTTTGGGCAATTGTGAACTCAGTTGAAAAGGACAGCGCCAAATAGTAGAAAGTTGAGGTGTGTTGTTGAAACCCTGTGTTAACCTCGGAACCCAAGGGAACAACAACAACGACAACGATTAAGTCGAAATGCGTCAAGCCTCCAAAATAATCCATATATAGAGAAAACCCTGGCTACTTTACACTTCGTAAAAGTCGTTGCTATCAAAAGATTGATTCTCAGTTGGTCTTTGTATACAAAAAGGCAGTGTGATTAATCTCACGCTAACCTGGTCACTAGATATGTCTACTCTACCCATTGTATTTTTGTTGACTAACAATTTTTTTCTATTTTTGATTACAACTCACTGAGCTGAATTCATTGTTAATCTTCCAGTTTACCGAATTGTTTGTTTACGTAATAGCTTTACTCTTAATCATCATTTCTTTTCACTCTCCCTCATCCCCTCTTCTCACGAACACTGTAAAGGAATATAACTTTCTGGAAAATCCCTTCTTAACGAACTTATCACAATATTTACGCTCATTTGGACGTTTTAACTAACTTTCTAATTATTATGCATTTTCTCCTGAACTGAATGTCATTATTGTGACATTTGCATATCAAATGTTGATTGGATCCCCATTATTTGTTTTGTCGCCCACTGTTGTGTTTAACCTCTAAACTGAATGCTCGCTCCTCTTCGCAGTTGTGCCATGTACAATGATAATGTGATGTCTAACGATGCAGTTTTGTTTGAGTGAATAAAGGGGTCATTCTGACCTTAGATTGTGATTCTTGAGAACTTTTGCAGAATTTCGATTCCACCTTATTGGGAATATTCTACCTAGTTGTGTAAGGTACTTCTTCTTAAAGTTGAAAGTTTGATCAAGGAATTTATTTTCTACAGTACTTATTTTGGGCTTAGAAGCCAACATTGTCTGTAAAGCTTTTCTTTACCGCATTGGTGAAGCAATTTTGAGTTTGTGATTTTATTATTTTTGTTGAAAAGAAGCATAAAATTAAAACCAAGGATAATCGTCTTTTCGCTGTCTTCGGAGTGCTGTGTGATAGTGTGTTGTCTCTCAAGGAAGATTCGGACAGATATACAGTAGGACGCAGAGATCGGTTACCTGCGTGCAGACGGCAATGATCTACCTTATATTATGTAGAAATAAACTGGTTGTTAGATTGTCAATTATTTTTTTGGGACAGCCGTTTCGTCAGCCAAGTTTGGGACTCTTTATCAGTACGCACCCACTGAGATTCGAACCCCACAACCTTCTGGTTACAAGGCTAGCTATCTCGTGGACCAGTAAGCCATTGGGATCCGATCCAATGTCCATTATTTATTATTATTGTTTCCTTTAATTCCTAGAGGAACATAGGGCTTCAGCCCCACGTCTCCATTGCGTTCGGTTCTCTGCTAGAGTCTTCACCTGGCTCCAAGTCTGCCCACACGTTTTCATCTCCTCTTCACATCACCTCCTCCAAGTCACCCTTGCACTGACGACCAACTCGCCGCTTCCCTTTCGGGTTCCACTCGAGCAATGGCTTGTCTAGTGATGTCACTTGATGAATTGTTTCCTCAGAGTATGGCCACCCAATCCATCTCCATTTCTTCCTGCCTATTTGTTTCACAATCGGTTCCTGGTTAGTTGGTTCACTCATTGCCAGACATCTCTGTTGCTGATCTTTTCTGGCCGGCCATCTGATCTTGAGTACTGAGCGAAGACAACTGTTAATGAAGGTCTGTAGTTTGTTTGAGATGCTCTTTATGACGCGCAGTGCAAGTCTCTGATCCGTATAGTGAGTAGCACTGACTTCACATTGGAGTTGAAAATCCGGATCTTATTTTTCATTCTGAGTGATCCAATGTCCATAAAGAGTATCAAACACTAGGACGAAACAGCCATTCCAGTACTGCAGTGCTGATTATTCAATGGTCCTTTAACCGATGTCAGTTCATGATGAAATCCTGAAACCAATCAATCAAATCAAATCCCTGCAAACCAAAACTTGAATATCAATCTGATGCTCAGGTAGGTTCTAGTGGAAAGTCATGACCAACACAGTACAGCAGGTCCAGTGTTAAGACAAATACCCGCCACGGATGACATTGGTTAGTGCCAGTAACGCCATATATCATGAATTGGTCGAAGATGGATTGGATTGGATCCCAGTGGCCTTATAGTCTACAACCTCGCCCTGTGACCAGAATGTCCTGGGTTCGAATCTCACTGGGTGTGTACTGCTGAAGAGTACCAAACTAGGCTGATAAAATAGCTGTTCAGTGCTATATATATACATATATATATATATATATATATGAAATAAAGAAGCAATGAGCCCACCATTACTAACCATGAAACACCACATGTGAAAAATGGAACATGGAATGAAGTTATCAAATTAAAATCTAAGTAATAATGATAATAACAAAAAATGATTTACAACTAAAGTAAAAAACAAACTAACCGGAGTAGATTGTGATAATGAACAACTAATGGTTCATAAATTGATGATTTTAAATTTGTATTCAAATTATTATTATTATTATTATACCATACAGGTAAACTGAATGTATGCACATAGTACCATTTTTGATCCAATTTTAATCGATATACAGGACAATCAACTAAGTGACGTTTAATATGATGATTTTTAGAAGAAATGATTGAATTCGAATTGTTTGATGAAATCTGTTCACCAACAACAATAACATCATCATTGTCAGCATTAGCATCATCAAAACTATCAATATCATCATCATTATTGTTGTTAACAACACTATCCGAGGCTGGAGTAGGTGTTGACATTGGCGTTGGTGTTGGTACAACATTCTCATTGTCTAATTTGATTAAAGCATTTTGTGCTCGACACCATCGTGATGCTTCATTGAAAACTATTTTTGAAAAATAAAAAAAAAGAAATAATTTAAGCATAAAACTATGCAGTTGATCGCTCTATAACCAACTTATTGATTTACGAAGAAAACTCATGTCATTTATATTGAAATCAGTTGGATTTCTGTTGACATATTTTGGCTCCTAGTAACACAGATGCTTCGACGACAGACGGTCTATAGCGAGTCGACAATATCAATACAGAGACGAAGACCAAGAATTTCAGTCCAGTATAGAATGAAAGAACTAGAAATGGTGAAATAAATTCAACAACAAATAACATCAAGTACTCGTGACTTCTCTTGTAGACTACTGGATACAGCTTGGATGTTTAGAACCATGAGCACTGGGGGGGGGGGGTTCGAATCTCAGTGTTGAGAATCTAGGTGAAACCCCGTTGATGTGTACTAAACAGGGTAAAATGTACACTCTAGATTCCAGTGGTAACCACCATCAACCGAATTAAACTAATGTAAACAACTATACTCACTCGTATATTGTAATTATTATTGTCGTAGTTACAGCTACGAATATAATTACCATAGCTATTCACCACTTTGATTGGACACTAGATAGTGTAGGTAACTAGTGTCATACGTCTAGTCCTTGATTGTTGGTACAGACTGAATTTTATCAGTCAAGTTTGCGCAATGGGGCCACCAATAACAAGCTAGATTAGCTTGCTATCATCACAGTGCACTATGAATTTTTGTTATTGAATGGTCAGCAGGAAGTCTTAGGCCTAGGTTTCGTGCTTCTTTGCGCTCACCAGTGAGCAAGGCATGTAACCTCCTGTATGACTACCACTGTATTGGATACTTTGATTGGACACTAGCTAGTAACTAGTGTCATCTATCTGTCTAGTCATTTGTTTGTTGCAGGACTGATTAACAACAGCAATTGCATGCAATGTAACTAATTAATTCAAAAGGTTTTGATGTGGTTGTGTTCTCTGAGCTGGATAGTTAATTTGCAAAGCCTTCATTGCCCCACCACCAGGCGACATCTTCAGCGCATACTTCAATTTGTTGAAGTGAGCTTTTAGATTTCTCCACTCGTGGAGAAGTATGCGCTGAAGATGTCACCTAGTGGTGGGGCAATGAAAGCTTTGCAAATTAACTATCCAGCTCAGAGAACAAAAACCACATCAAAATCATCCACCTGAGCTACAAATCTTCTCTATCATATCTAATTCAGAAGGTATATATCGCGCTAGTCATCGCATAAAATGACAAGCATAATAATCGATAGCAACAGGTGAAAATGACAATAAATGGAAATGTGGCACAACGGCACAACAAGGATAACTACATGATAATTAATAATGAAAATTCAATGTTCCTGGAAAACATTGCTACAGTAGACTTCAATTGACACACAGTGTCCAACTGTTGCCTTCTGGTCAGCATATATATGGCAAGTGTTTGCTGATGTCAACAAATGTGCATCTAATGCTTCAGAATATGTTGAAGGATGAACTACAGTTGCACGACATATATAAAACACATTGAGAGCAATCTATTTTCCAAATAATATAATGCTTGATTTATATTGGAAAATGGATAACACAAAAGTAAAGTAACATAACACTCAACGACATCAGGCACATACGTCCAGTTAGCAATGATACAAACCTTTTGTGCGACAGGTACCAGTTGACCATAATATATATATATATATATATATTCCTCATAAACTTGACTAAATGCCATGAGGAAAAATTAACGATTGTGAACTATGCATTGCTTAAATATCTCTTCAGATACAAAAACTTGAATGGTGGGCTACAGATGACAAGAGTAAACTAAATGTAAAGGTAATATCTACACACGAAAGTGACACAACGTGAACAATGAGATGTAGGCTCGTATAGTCAGTCTAAACTTATCTCATACCTGTCAATGTCAACCATCATGTCTACAAGATATATATACAGAGAGGCAGACTGATGAACCGTATACACATCCCTTGGCGAATATAGCCGGATATCACGTCTGCAACAAAGTTGACAGACGCAATACCAGCCTATTGGTAACATTTGTTTATACAATAGTCAAAATCAAATCAACCCTGTATTACTCAGCAACTAACATGTGACTGCATGCAGCTGGTAACAGGTCACACCTACTTGTGTGTGGACAGGTTAGACTACCCGTGCATGGAGAGGGATTCGAATCAGTAGTAACCCACTAGTTGGGAATTGTAGTCCCTAGACCAATGATGAGTCACAGCTCCAACGGGAAGTAGTTGGAATTCATGATCTGGTCATTGGATTGGCAGTCCAACGACTGAATGGGTCTACGAGCTTGTCTTGTAACCGGAAAGTCCAGGATTCGAACCCCAGCGGTGGGTGCATACTGTGAAGAGTCCCAGACTGGGACGAAACATCACTCTAGTACTCCTCTAATCCAACACTTGATAATTAATATGCTTTTTCAATACCCTATTTCATTCCTTATCCTTATGATGACTTCATTAACTATGTAATGTAACCATCTATCGTATAGTTGAACAATCCCTATGTACTTTCATCACTCTGAATAGATCAAGAATCTTGATTGGACACTAGTCAGTAACTAGTGTGATGTGTGTCTAGCCCTTGGTGTTTGGTGCAGACTAAATTCTATCAGTCAGTCAGGTTTGTAATGTGGCCACCATTCCACTAGGTAGGCTAGCCATCATGATGCGCACATTGATTTGATGATATGTAATACGCCTTGCTGACTGACTGGTAAGTGCCAACTAGCACGAAACCTATGTCAAGCAAGGCTTCCTTTGGCCGATTGCCACCAACCATTTAATATCATCAGATCAAGAATCTATGGGCTTAACAAATATTCCAGAGAAAATGGAGATGAATCGAAAGCGTAGGGGAAAAATCGAACGCCAGGTCATTGCTCGAATAAAGCCCATATAACAAACGATGAGTAATGCGTAGATATGCGAGGATGAAATAAAGGAGATGCAGGAGTTATAGGTAATCGTGGAGAAGGAAGAGGAGGAGTGGGGGCTCAGCTGAAGAAGACTGCAGAGATGTGCTCTATTGAAGTCTTATGTTCAAATCGGAACTCACGGGAATAATAATAATAATAATCATGACATCATTGCTTAACAATATAAATACTAAACTATTAAAACACGCTTTATTAAAATAATTAAATACAAAAAGAAAACCACCCAATCAATCAATGAATTAACTAATTTTCTATAGTTTGGTTTGTAAGGGTTAGTTATGTTTTTACGAGTTGATCACGGATTGATATCAGTTAGAGAAGCATTGAAAACCAGGGAGTACTGGACAGCTGCTGTTTTATCCTAGTTTGGGAATCATCGCCAGTACGCACCCACCACCAGGCTTCGAACCCAGGACCTTCGGGTTACAAGGCAAGCTCGTATACCATTCAGCCACTGGGACCCGATTCAATGGCCAGCTCATGAATTCTAACTTCTACCAATTCGTGATTTAGCGCCACCCCAACTCGTAAAAACATAACTAACCCTTACAAACCAAACTATATAAAATTAATCTGTTTGTCTAAGAAGCTAACACTATCTACCGCTTATAAAGAAAGAAAAAAAGTACTACCGCTATAGGAACTTCAAAGCTGAAACTTGAAGCGGTGATTGTCTCCCCCACACTTGGAATATGAAAGAATGATTCTCAAACGATATGATTATATGAAACAGTAAATTTTAGTCTAAACTATAGCAGGCCAAAACGAAAGTACTTAGTGTGAAAGGATTAATGACCCCTTGAGCTTCCAGTCAAATGAGACCGTAGTGTATATAGGTGGAATGCTGGATACTGTACACGAATAATGCAGTGAATTTCATTCAATTCTGGTATTTTAAGTACTGCTTAGACAACAGGCTCATGGGAAGAGCGAAAACGTGTAACCAGCTGTCATCCTTGGGCTATATGCATAGCGTCGTGGTCAATATAATGGATGATTCTTTCAGTCCTTACGATGGGATCCACACAAATTCCACCGAAAGTTTCTATAGGCATCTGAAAAAGAGGATCAGAGGGGTGAATAATGAGTGGGTCAAGAAACACGATGATTTGCAGTTAGCTCGACAAGTTTATGGATTGGTTCCCAGTGGCTGAATGGTACATGGGCTTGCCTTGTAACCGGAAGGTCCTGGGTTCGAACCCTGGCGGTGGGTGCGTACTGCCAATGATTCCCAAACTAGGATGAAACAGCTGTCCAGTACTCCCTGTGGCTGGTTTTCAATGCTTCTCTAAACTGATATCAATCCATGATCAACTGGTAAAAAATTAACCAATTAATTAATCAATCAGAATATAAGAAATAACCTTAACTATACTGATGAAGATTTATGCTTATCATTTACAAAGAGTTCAGAGTTTCATCAATAAACATTCCCAGTGATCAAAAGTATACTGATAAGTTAAAAAGAAAAATAATTTATACGTCTAACACTAGCTAGCGTGATATATTGTGAAATTTTATCTTTTCAAACTATCATCATCATCATCTCTCTATCACATCAATCAATCAGTCCATTCTAACATGGAAAGTAAACAATTCAATTCTTTGAATAATAATAATAATAATTCCATTATACATACTAACTACTACTCGCTTATTTCATCCCCTTTGAAAAGCAACACTACCAACAATAACAACCACAACACCAACGACAACAAAAGCAATAAACAAAACAATAAAGACATTATTATTATTATTATGCATATTATGATAATGATAATAATAATTATAATTATAATAAGAATTACTTTTCGATGAATGTTTCTCCCAAATAGATGTATCAAGATCATGAATTTTACTCCGCCAATTATGTAATTGATCATGATTATCATCATTCAAGCATAAATTGTGTTGACTTGAAAAATGTCTGAATAAATATTATGATTAAAACAAAAAGAAAGAAAGAAGTAACGAAAAAGGATGAAAAATAAACATCTATTATATTGTGAATTATTTCAAGCACATATACACATACATACATAGAGAAATGAGTGTAAACGACTGTCAATAGATGCATACTGTTTCTATACTTTATAAGAATTCAGGAACCTGGAAACAAATCTTTCCTGTTCCAGAGGGGGGGGGCGTAAAGGATACTATTATTCAATTGCATGAGTTGTAGTCGTGGATGGAGCAAGATTTGAGACCACCAGGGGAATCCCCCACCCACCCACCTACCCACTGGCTGCAAAAGATGGCTACTTGAACTAATGAAATACGTCTGCATAACATGATTCCTCTGTCTCCGTCTCTCTCTCTCTCTCGTCGGTGCCACAGCGGTAGAATGCGCGCCAACCACTCATACGGTCAGGGGTTCGATCCCCGGCCACGGATGCACCTCTTTACCTCGCTAATCCAGTAATAAGACTGATAAAGAGGGAAGGTTGAGCATGCGGCTAACAACCCCATCCCGTAAAAATAAACACCACTGCTACCGAAACTTCAAGCCTCTAGCTTGAAGCCCTATTTCCCACTGGGAACTTAAAGGAACTATATATATATATATATATATTGGTTGCAAATATAAAAAATATGATGTTATAGAGTCGACTTACCACCTTTCACACTTTAATTTAAGTACTTCAGTAACAAACTGCCGCAGTTACTGGTATTCATTTTTTTTATTCCTTGCGTCCAAGTGGAACAAGCATCTTAAAAGCTTCAGTAGCAGTTGACTTCAGTCTTACCCTATATGGTCATAAGTTCATAGCCACTACCTCAACGTGACGCGTTGGAGGTGTTCTCTTCACAGAAGCGAAAGGGTAAACGCGAACATCTAGTGCTTACAAGTGGACGATTGGTGGACATGCAGTTGGACATACCTAGAGAAGCTGGAAAATCCTGATTCCAAACCTATGATGATGTATATGGGCTCCAGAATCTGAATGGATCAGATAGCATATGAACCTGTTTTTTGTCACCAGAGACCTTAAGAAGGTAGTTCCTGACTCCGCACTCCACTCAGAGCTTTGTGGATCAACCTTCAAGTTAAAGGTTTGGCGTGTGGAGCCTTAAGATAATTACCTGCTTTGGTTTGGGCGCCCGCGCAGTATCCTAGTCATCGCCATATACTATGCAATCTTATGAGGTGCATCTTTTAGTGCCCATAATATATCGAGTTCTGTCATTGTCTGATTCCGTCTGATATTACTAATGAGTCATCGACGCTTAATCTTTCTTTATATTTAAAATAATTTACACATGTACATTTAAAAAACAACTCTATACTGTTTACACTGCCAATTCTATATTGGAAATGTATTCATCACCACACTCAATAGAAAAATTTATGATTGGTTAGAAATCAGTCATCACTGAGAACATTATTCGCCAGGTACTAAGTTTTGAATCAAACATATATTATATTTGAGGCTTTCATGATATCGGCACGTTGAAAAAGGTGGAGAAGGATTCCCTCACCACCACCACCAAGAACCAATTAGCTGAAAGTTGAGTTCTTAAGTTAACGTGACATGCATAACCGCACACATCTCTCAAAGTTATGCACTACCTCGATGCTCTTAGAATTGGATAGTTGAAATCACAAAGAAATGTATCAAAGGCCAAGTTAAACTTTAAGCACCACTAACTAGTAATCAACAAACGACATCGAATGGTCCAAAGAGGTTCATGCACGTGAATTCAAGGTTTCGTTTCAAATGCGTGCTCTAACCAACTTACACTTGCAGTTCGAGGAAGATAAGGTTTTGCAGTATTGCCTGGATTTGGGGTTGCTTAGTTAGGAGAGAATTTGTTCATGTGGTGATATGATGAGTTTAAAAAGCTTTAGCAGGTCGATTGATGGATATGTCCATCGTTGTGCAATTTGTTTTAGCCGAGTTAGTATTAGGGAAGGTAAGCTGATAATTTTAATATTTCGTAGGAACATTTTTTGCCAGGTCACATCTCTTCCTAACCCAGATTTTGTATATTTGTAACTACTGGGATTTAAAACAACTTGTGAGAGGCGCAGCTACTGAAACCAAAAACAGGTTCATGTCAACAGTTCAGTGGTGTCAGCACTGCAGAGACATCGCATCATGGAAAATGGAGAGAATTACTTCCTTGTTGGGTGGAGAAGGCATCGCTGTGCACGTGGACGTGAGCAAGCCAACAATGTTTGGGTGATTGGTTTATATGACACCTACCTACGGAAAGGATTCGTGGAGAGAATACCAGACAGAAAGTCAACTCATTTAATGCCTATTATTACTAGACTTGTGAAACAGGGATCCATAGTACATACTGATGAATGGAAAGGTTATAACTCGCTGTCATCTCTTGAATATATTAATCACAGAATGAACCATTCCAGTGATTTTGTGTATCCCATTACGGGGACACACACAAATTCTATAGAAGGATTTTGGGGAAGATTGAAAAATAGGATTAGGGCTATAAATGGCTCTCAAAAGGATCTCATTTATAGTCATTTGGATGAATATATTGTACAGAATGTGGTATAACTTTTCTATTGACACTCCTTATGCTAAACTGGGATATGTTTCTATGTTACAGTTTTATGCAGTTTTTATGCTTTTTTCCATAAATATACGTTTTCCTTTGTCAAAAATCCCTCTCTCATATGATTGGTCCGTTGAAGGTCGTTCGCTGATTGGTAGTTAGTGTTGCTTAAAGTTTAACTTTGCCGTGTTAAAAATGTATCAAGAAACATGACAGACCATATGGTGCATGTGTGTGTAGGTGTAGAAGAGATAAGAAATGATTGATAAGCAAACTCATATTCGATCAGTCAGCCTATGCAATATATTGAAAATGTAACAAAAATGATAAGTGTAAAGGGACTACAATTGCTATCAGTAAGAAGAAGACAACAATTCACCTATTCAGATAATTTTCCTATATAATAATTACAACGAAAAATCATGACTTTTATTTATGCATTTACAAAAGCAGATAGATACTACCAACATTATTTACTCGAAACTGCATAAACTCTTGTCACTGGCTTTCAATAGAAAGCTGAGAACGATAGAGCTAGTCACAACTTGACAACGAGGACCCTCTTATTCACTACTGAATGATAGGGGATTTGGTCACCACCACCAACAACAACAGAAACACAAACTAGAAATGACATGCCATTAGTTAAGCTTACGTGCGTCGGTGGCATAGCGGTTAGGACGCTCGCCGACCATGCACATGGTCCGGGGTTCGATCCCCGGCCGACGCACACCTTTACCTCGCTGGTGAAGAGGAAAGGTTGGACATGAGGCTAGCAACCTCATCCTGTAAAATAAACACTGCTACAAAAACTTCAAGCCACTAGCTTGAAGCCCTATGTTCCACTGGGGAACGTGAAGGAAAAAAAGTTAAGCTCACAACTGGTCAATTATGAATGAGAACCACTGAAATCCACAGAGTATTGAAAACAGCTGTTTCACACTAGTTTGGAATTCTTCAGTAGTACCCGATTACCGACCAGGGATCGAACCGAGGACCTCTCTTCAAGTAACAAGACGAAATTGTATACCATTGAGATGGAATCCCGTAGCCCATCAATTCTAACTTCTGTCAATTTGATAGATAGATAACACGACAGCTAGCCGAAGTCATCGCTGAGTACACACCTGTCGTTGAACCCGACTTCGTGGACTCTCTTGATTGTCCTAGTGGCTGGATGATGGCATGTGAGTTCATCTTGTAACATGAAGGTAGTGGGATTTGATTCCTGGTGGAGCCTTGGGTGCGCACAGATGAAGAGTTTTAAACGAGGATAAAACAACTGTCCAACACTCTCTGGACTTTAATAGTTCTCGCTAACTGAAGTCAATTCGTGATCAAAATTGAAATCAAATGGAATCCCTGCAAATTAAACACTTTTAAATAAACAAACACCCGGATGTATACAACTAGGTAGGAATAATCCAGAATCAATTTACGTCTATTTATTCATTAGACTGAACAGTTAAAGCAAGCGAGTAATTATTTCACACTTTACATTTTTGTGCATAATTAACAATTGATTTATTGAATAATAACACAATGTGTTAGAGGAATGCTTCTTGCTGAGGTGCTTGAAAAATCAATGTCGACGATTAAACAAAATAAGACAAAATTGATTTGCTTTCCTGGCCTGCCTCTCCCTTTCTCTCTCTCTCTGAGGTTTTATAAGAGTACTCAGGTGAATTGTCAACTCAGTTGGCTAACACCAATGATAAATATATAAGAAATAATTTCACAATGAAATGTGAGAGCAACTAAGCAAGGTGACATTAAACAGCTACTGAAACAACTAGTGATAACACTCTCTGCCGTCTCATAAGAAACTCTTCAGTCAATTTGTAGGCAAATTCGAATAGCATACTTCCCTTGGAATTGACTGATTGTAACTCAGTTGGTTGGTTGAAACGGATTTTTCATGTATCAGTGGCTAAGGGTTAAACACACGCGTCTTGCGTAAGGAAGGACTAATGATACCACCTAGTTGGTCAGAACTGAAGTAGGTGAAGCAGGGAGAGGAAGAAGAACTCGGGACCGACTAACTAAAAGCCATCAAGTGCTTCAGTCAATCAGAAGTTCGTTCTGACATTTTCTACTAAAATAATAATATTCAAGTATTGGTTTTGTAGGGATTTTGTTTGATTGCATGGAGGATTTCATCATGAGCTGACATCAGTTAGAGAACCACTGGAAAACCTGGCAGTACTGGGACAGCTGTTTCGTCCTAGTTTGGGACCTGGGGTTCTAGTGGGAAGCCCGGTGGGTGCGTACTGCTGAAGAGCCCCCAAACTAGGGCGAAACAGCTGTTCAGTACTCCCAGGTTTTCCAGTGGTTCTCTAACTGATGTCAGCTCATGATGAAATCCTCCATGCAATAAAATAATAATAACAATAAAGCTTTACAATGAAAATATGTAATCACTTGTTGGTATTGTGGTTTGAACTCAGTTGTTAACCAGAATACGTATCTCATGTTCTAGACACTTGACAATGAACCCACACACCTATAGTATGACGGGCTAGTAATACTACCTAACTAGTCAAACCTCCATAGGTGGAACAGGGTTCAAACCAATGACCCAGTGCATAGACTACTGAGCCACACAGCTCAACAAGGCAGATGCAACTATCAGATGGTTGGAGGCAATCGGCCAAAGGAAGCCTTGATTGACCTAGGTTCTCGTGCTAGTTGGCACTCACCAGTCAGCAAGGCGTATCCGCAACCTTGAAGGAACTCATGTCCCTGCTTCTGAGATTCAAACTCGCGTCACCCAGTGCTGAAGTCAGAGACGTTACCAATGGGCTAATCGGGTTCGCGATTGACCTCCTGTAGGAATGTAGTGGATACTTTTTGATTTGACACTAGTAACTAGTGTGATGTGTCTAGTCCTGAATTCTATCAGGTGCTAGGTCAAGCAAGGCTTCCTTTGGCCGATTGCCTCTAACCATCTAATATCATCAAATCAATGTGCACTGTGATGACGAACTACCTAGTGGAATGGTGACCACATTACAAACCTGACTGACTGACTGATAGAATTCAGTATGCACCAAACACCAAGGACTAGACACACATCACACTAGTTACTAGTGTCAAACCAAAAAAGATATAACTATCTAACACCACTCAAACCCACCCTAAGCGAAATCAGGTGGAGAGTCACTTGCAATCAGGATTATTCACTCACTGGTTGAAAATCTGAGTTTTATTATTTAACAAACAAACAAACAACAACAAAACGCCAGTGTACCAAAAAGAAAGCAATTATTTTACCTTTCATAGTGTAATACTTGTCCTTTTCTATTGACAATTATAATAATCACATCCATTAGGTGTTCATGATGATTCCAGTTATCTTGTCGTTTATTATTATTATTATTATTAATATTAATCTCAGGTAAAATAACATCTTTTGGTAAATTAAGATAAAAACCACCATCAGATTTTGTACATAATCGTGGAAAATCAATCGAAAGTGAAAAATCCGTAGATGATTTTTTATTATCATTATTATATTCTATCACTGAATTATGCTGTTTACTTTCAATTAATGCCATTGATGTAGTTGACAATGATGCTGATGATGATACTGATGATGACGACGAACTGTCACTGATACTCACGGATGATGATGATGAATTATGTGGCTGAGGAGATATCTGATACAATGGAGAAGGCTAAACAGAAACAACAAGAACAACAACAACAAACAACATAATTAGTGATTATATATGAAACACTAACAGCTCAATAATAATAATAATAATC